TTTCGTGACGGCCGCCGCCGACGCCAAGAAACAGACCAAAGCGTTGTCTCTGTTTAAATTCAACCTTTGGTTCTATGGCTACGAAAAGGGCAAACTCGAGACTCCCATCTATTCCGATGTCGCCATTCAGCTCAAGAAATGGAAAGACATGGACATCAAGATCTATGTGTTGAGCAACGGATGGGTTGAGTTCCAGAAGAAGATCCTCTCAAAGACCAATCACGGAGACCTCAATCTGATTCTCGACGGCTGTTACGACAGCAGCGAAGGCCAACTCAACAATAAGGAGACGTTTGTCAAATTGTTGGGCAAATTGAAGGCCACGCCCGACACCACACTCTTCATGACCAAGTCTGGAGAGGGCGCCCGCGCCGCTCAGGGGGCGTCTGTCAAAGTCCTACTCGTACTGACGCACCGCAAGAATATCGACAAACTCACCGACGAGGAGAAGGCTATGCCGCGGATCAGATCGTTCAACGAACTCGAGTTCGGCAACAATATGCCCACCACTGGCGCCGCCGCTGCAGCCGCGCCACCGGCCGGAGCCCCACCCGAAGGCGCCGCACCTCAGTTAAAGCTCCCGAAGCCTAATGTAATCATTATGGATCTGATCGGCACAGCCGTCAAAATGGGATTCATTGAGGAAGTGTTGGAACCGTTTGTCAAATCCAATATAAAGTTATATTTGGATAAGAACTGGAAGGACAAGAAGACACAGAAAGACATCAAGAAGTTGAGGAAAGAGGTGGCGAATCAATGGTCAGCGCCACAGATTGCGGCGGCGACTGCAACCGAACAGCAATTGAAGAATTCCATTATTGCGTTCGTGAAGGAGGCCATCGACTTCGGCAGAAGGACCAAAACGTTATCACTTTTTAAATTGAACATTTGGGCCGATGGCTACGAAAAGGGCAAACTCGAGACTCTCATCTATTCCGATGTCGCCATTCAGCTCAAGAAATGGAAAGACATGGACATCAAGATCTATGCGTTGTCCAGAGATTCAGTGGAATTTCAAAAATTGATTTTCTCAAAGACCAATCACGGAGACCTGAATCTGATTCTCGACGGCTGTTACGACAGCAGCGAAGGCCAGCTCAGGACTAAGGAGAGTTTTATGAAATTGTTGGCCAAATTGAAGGCCACGCCCGACACCACACTCTTCATGACCAAAGATGGAATGGACGCCCACTTCGCTCAGGGGGAGTCCGTCAAAGTCCTACTCGTACTGACGCACCGCAAGAATATCGACAAACTCACCGAAGCGGATAAGACGCTGCCGCGGATCAGAGCGTTCAACGAACTCGAGTTCGGCACCAAAGAGGCCATAGAGGCGGCCGCCGCTGCAGCCGCGCCACCGGCCGGAGCCCCACCCGAAGGCGGCGCACCCCAGGGCTGAGCGATCACTTCCGGCCCACACAACCAGTCATCGAGAGATTCAATCATTTGTTTCATTTTTGTTTCCCATCTCTCGCTTCTTCTCGTCTTTTATTTAAAATTATTTTTCGATAAAATAAACTAAAAGTTTGTCTCAATTGTAGTTCCCTTTCCTTTCATTCATTCAATTAATTACTCGTTTTATTAATCGTTATTTCGTTATCTAATAAGTAGTAAAACTTGTAATTAAAAGTCTAAGACTTTCTGATAACTAATTGCCATTTAGTGTCTGTTTTTAATGTATAGCTTTTATTGACATATCATTGATGTCTATAATTAGGTTAATATTTACATGTTTTCAATGCATTTTGATTTTAGTTTTAATTCAATTCATATCTAATCTCAAAGTTTTGTTTAATCATTGAATACAACTGTAAACTCATTCTGACATTTGTGATGCAATTTCGGTCAGTCATACACAACGTTACGAACCGACACAAACCCCACACCCCTTAACGTTATAACCGTCGCGAACCCCCATAACCCTCATTAAAGCGTAACTATATATGCGAACGACTGATTGGCAGAGAATCATGTGTTGACACAAAAATAGAGGCAATCGTTGTTTTGGACACAAAAAGTGTTGTGAATTGACATTCAATTCATTCAATGCTTTGCAGTCTTTCGACACAAAAACAGTTTCTTATAAATCAATACAAAGTATTTGTCTCTCAAAGACTCGTCTCCACAACAATGCCATCAATTGATCCGACGATTGGCGACAACAACAACAACACCGACGGCAACGACGACCAGAGGACGAGCGATGGATCCGTTGTGTCGATACTTCACTTCAACGACAGCTATAACGTGGAGTCCAGAAGTGCTGAGCCGTCGGGAGGGGCCGCACGACTCCTCACAGCTTTCAACGCATTCAAACACTTCCACCCATTGGTCCTCTTCAGCGGCGATATTATGGCCCCCTCTATGGCCTCTTTGGTGCCGAACTCGAGTTCGTTGAACGATCTGATCCGCGGCATTGCCTTCTCCTCGTCGGTGAGTTTGTCGATTTCTCTCTCTCTCTCTCTCTCTCTCTCTGTAATTGATTGTCAAGTGATTTAATGATATGTTTTTTTTGTGACAAACAGTGAGTTCTTTCACGAAAGGCGAGCAAATGATACCCGTATTGAACGCACTGTCCGTCGATTGCGCCCTCTTTGGGAACCACGAGTTCGGTCTGTAGTTTGTATGCAATGATAATAAGGACCGCAATATGTGTTTGATTTGATTACAATATTATGTCTCTAGACTTCGGAGTCCCTCATCTGGAGTCGTTTGTCAGCAGAACTAACTTCCCGTGGGTTTTGTCCAATGTATTCGATCCGCAGACCAACCGTCCGATGGCCGGCGCTTTCCTCTTCCATACCATACATAGAAATGGCAAAAAAGTATTCAATTAATGAGCGTTTCATTTGATTGAAGCAAACATTTAAACCATTTGTTTTGCACAACAGATAGGAATCATAGGTCTGGTGGAAGAGCAGTGGTTGGCCGACGCCATAGACCAGCCATTTCTATACCGAAACTTTATAACAGAAGGCAAACAATTGGCCAAACAGTTGAAGGAAAAGGTATTGTCTCTGAAGACATAGTTTGAAATTAATGTCTAAAACAATGTCTGCTTTTAGGAGAGCGTAGACTTTGTGATTGCCTTAACACACATGCGATGGCCTAACGATTGCCTTTTGGCCCAAAACGTGCCCGAAATTGATTTAATACTCGGCGGACACGACCACGACTACCAGTGCCGTCGCGTCAACAATATATTGTGCGTTAAAAGTGGTACCGATTTTCGACAATTCAGTAAAATAGACGTCCAATTCGTCGGTTCCCAGAAATACGAGATTAAATGCAATGAAATTACTGTCAATTCGTTTGACTTCAACGAAGACCAGGCGCTGAAAGAAGAGCTCAAGAAGTACTCGTTTGACGTCGAGTCCAAAATGGATATCGTTTTGTGCGAAATGCGGTCAGAACTGGACGGACGGTTCGCCTCAATACGAAATAAAGAGACAAATTTAGGCAATTTTATATGCGATATAGTGTTGGCCACGACTGGCGCCGATGCCGTCCTTTTGAACTCCGGTACGTTTCGTAGCGATCAAAGCCACACAACCGGTGCCTTCAAAGTGCGCGATTTGGTCCGCATATTACCAATGATGGACGCATTGCTTGTGCTCAACATAACTGGTCGCCAATTGTTGGCCGCACTCGAGTGCTCTGTCGCTCAATGGCCAGTACTTGACGGCAGTTTTGCTCAGTTGTCGGGAATTAAGTACTCGTTTAACGCCAATCAATCGGTTGGCAATCGTGTGGACAAACAAAGTGTGAGAGTTGGCGGTCATTGTGTAGAGTTAGAGCGCAAGTATCGACTCGTGACCAAAGACTTCTTGCATAAGGGAAAGGATGGCTATTATGTGATGAAAGAGTGCGAAGTGTTGCTCAATGAGGAGCAGTGTTGCGATGTGTTTTACAGAGACAAGAAAAGCGCACAAAAACCTACTGTTAAACCGACGCCCGACTCATCGCAAACCATAACACGAACTGAATTGTAAGCCTCGACAGCCACAGCACCCGTACCTTCCCTTCCCTTTGTGTTCATTAAAAATGATTTTAACACTATTTTCTGTATAATATATAATAAAATCCGTTTCTAATTCACTGTTTTAAGCCATAAAAACATTTAAATAAATTAAATTACAAATATATTTAAGTGTCACTTATTTCTCAATTAAATTAAGTTATTAAAGGAATAAATAGACAAAAATTACTATTTTTATTATAATTTTATAATTATTATGATTTATTAACCGTTGATTAAAATACAACTCGTAATTCCTTTGATAGGATGGGATAATCCAGTTATGGGACCAAAACAAACATAATTATAATAATTATCGTTCATTATTCACATTTTAAAAAATCAATTATTTTTCGTTTATAATGTCGAATAAATTGAAAACAAATACAATTATTAAAACTCTTAAATGACTGCTAAAAAACTAAATCATATATAAAGTTAATACTTATTAATACAATGTAGAGATTTATGACAATTTACGTAAACTATTTGCACAAAAATAATAATAAACAAAAAACTAAAAAACGAAACAAACAATTAGTTTATTGTGTAATAGTGTGCGTTTAAATCAATTATCAATTGTTTTATTAACCTTTTAATTAATCAAATACTTTAGACATCAAATAGTATTTCAAAAGTTGTTTTAAAATTATGGGCAAAACGAGACTTAATGTGTTATCCATTGATAGTCTGTCCGTTATTGACAGCTCCTGACCGACGAACTGATCAATTGTTTTAAATTAAGTCAATTTTTTTATCATTAATGTAAAATTATATAATAATTTATATTATAATTTACATAAAATAATGTTAGTAATACTGTAATTACATGTACACAATTTATTGTATACAGACAATGAATATCCCGGTGTTTATACTAAAGTGTCTTATTTTATAAATTGGATTCAAAACGTGATGAGAAAAAACTAAAACATGATTTACATGTTTAAAACAAAATCATTAAATTGTTTGTGTATATATTATTTACATTAAATGTAATCATTTTTAAACAATACGCTATTCACTAAATAAAATTAAAAGTAAAAATGTTATCACAATTATTAATCAAGGTAATTGTCGTTAAAATTATCGGTAAAATATCGTTATCCTGGGCAGCACTCTTAACCATTACATTGTGCAAAAAAGCCATTGTTTTTCAATGGAAATTATTTATTTTCTAATTATTTACATAGAAAAATAACTATGATAGCTACAATGACATATTATATACCGATCAATTACGACATTATCAGGCAACATTTTTCTAATTGACATCAATATGATTGAGTTACCTAGTCAAAAGTTATTCGCGTTTCCCCTACGGAACATTATAGATTGTTTGTGTTTATGTAAATAAAAACATTTAAAATGAAATATTTATTGGCAGTGAATATATATTACGTTAACTAATACAACGATTTATCCCTAAATGACTACTAAAATGAGATTAAATTACGAATTATCACAAATATTGTTCATTAAGTGTTTGCAGTATTTTATCAAATATTATACTGAAAACACTTTTCGTCACTCGAAACGAGTGATACGTCCGTCGATTTTGGGCTCAAATGTACGCAATTCGTACTCCAGAGCGACCGCTTCGGGCATCGGGTGGACAGTCATCGGGAAACCGGAAGAGCCAAACAGACTCTTGGAGTTGGACTCGCGATCTGAGCCCAGTTTGGCCACGGATTCCAAATAGTTGTTGACTAACGTAAACACATCGCAACACTGCTCCTCATTGAGCAACACTTCGCACTCTTTCATCACATAATAGCCATCCTTTCCCTTATGCAAGAAGTCTTTGGTCACGAGTCGATACTTGCGCTCTAACTCTACACAACGGCCGCCAACTCTCACACTTTGTTTGTCCACACGATTGCCCACCGATTGGTTGGCGTTAAAAGAGTACTTAATTCCCGACACCTGAGCAAAACTGCCGTCAAGTACTGGCCATTGAGCGATAGAGCACTCGAGTGCGGCCATCAGTTGGCGACCAGTGATGTTGAGCACAAGCAATGCGTCCATCATTGGCAATATGCGGACTAAATCGCGCACTGGACGGCATCGGCACCAGTGGTGGCCAACACTATATCGCATATAAAATTGCCTAAATTTGTCTCTTTATTTCGTATTGAGGCGAACCGTCCGTCCAGTTGTGACCGCATTTCGCACAAAACGATATCCATTTTGGATTCGACGGCAAACGAGTACTTCTTGAGCTCCTCTTTCAGCGCCTGGTCTTCGTTGAAGTCAAACGAATTGACAGTAATTTCATTGCATTTAATCTCGTATTTCTGGGAACCGACGAATTGGACGTCTATTTTACTGAATTGTCGAAAATCAGTACCACTTTTAACGCACAATATATTGTTGACGCGACGGCACTGGTAGTCGTGGTCGTGTCCGCCCAGAATTAAATCAATTTCGGGCACGTTTTGGGCCAAAAGGCAATCGTTAGGCCATCGCATGTGTGTTAAGGCAATCACAAAGTCTACGCTCTCCTAAAAGCAGACACTGTTTTAGACATTAATTTAAAACTATGTCTTCAGAGACAATACCTTTTCCTTCAACTGTTTGGCCAATAGTTTTCCTTCGGTTATAAAGTTTCGGTACAGAAATGGCTGGTCTATGGCGTCGGCCAACCACTGCTCTTCCACCAGACCTATGATTCCTACCTATTGTGTGGAAACCAATGGTTTAAATGTATGCTTCAATCAAATGAAACGCTCATTAATTCAATACTTTTTTGCCATTTCTACGAATGGTATGGAAGAGGAAAGCGCCGGCCATCGGACGGTTGGTCTGCGGATCGAATACATTGGACAAAACCCACGGGAAGTTAGTTCTGCTGACAAACGACTCCAGATGAGGGACACCAAAGTCTAGAGACAATCAATGAGACATAATATTGTAATCAAATCAAACACATATTGCGGTCCTTATTATCATTGCATACAAACTACAGACCGAACTCGTGGTTCCCAAAGAGGGCGCAATCGACGGACAGTGCGTTCAATACGGGTATCATTTGCTCGCCTTTCGTGAAAGAACTCACTGTTTGTCACA